TCAGGGTAAGTGCTACTTAGCAACAGCTAAACCATCAGTGTGTTACCAGTTGTTCTCAGACTGAAGCCAAACCAGAGCACTGCACCAGCTACTAGGAAGAAAATTAACTCTATCCCAGCTGAAACCAGGATATGTTTTGAGAAGGGGGATGGGGAGGTGTCTGTTTGATGTAGTAAATGTGTTTGTGCACTCATAATTAACTGTAAATTCATGCTGACATGTATCTAATTAGAAAACTGCACATCTTAATAAATCTTCAGTATGATTTCTGTTTATTAATTAATATATTTGAATGGAGGAGGAGAACAATTTAGTGAATCCTGGGCATTTTCAGTAATAACATTTATTTGTATATAAAATAAGTCATGTTTGTAGTACCTCTAGTGCAACATACAAATAAAGAAATTCTGTAAATTAAGAGGTGGAAGGCAATTTATGACTACTACTTATTGTGCAAATTTGTCCCTTTCACTGTTCTAATGCCTAATTGTCTTCTTGATCTGTTTATCATCTGATTACGTGCCAGGTTTGCAAAGTAGCTGAACCATAAACTGATTTTGGATGTCATATGTATATACTGTGTATATATGCACATCTAGATTCTGAATTTCTTAGTGAAATTCATGCTGTGTTAATGCAAATGACATTGTATAAGGATTTATATTCTTATATGTTTATACACAAGCTAGTTTTTAATTCAGAAAAAACTTTCTTCCAGATGAACTCATTTTCTTTTGCCTGTGAACGTCACCACTTCTGTCAGCATATGTTAACTGTGACTATTGTTCCTTGTCTAGCTGTACCCCATAAAATAGGGCGGATAATTGATGGAAGTCCTGCAGATCGCTGTGCAAAACTTAAAGTTGGAGACCGGATCTTAGCTGTGAATGGCCAGTCTATTATAAACATGCCTCATGCAGATATTGTGAAGCTAATTAAAGATGCAGGTCTCAGTGTAACTCTTCGCATCATTCCTCAGGAGGGTAAGTCAATGGCCCTTAAAAACAGGAAGAAAATTTTAAGTAGCCTCCAATTAGCTTGAATTATGTCACCGCTTGAAAGAACATCTTTTGTTTCACTTTCTCAGCTGTAATGTACAGCACAGCAAAATTACAGCCTTAGAACCAGCTCAAATAACATCTGAATTCTTGAAAAGGTTTCTGGTTATGAAAAGGGTATTTAAAGCAAACCTGGAGAAACCTGAGAGAGACGTGGGTACCAGGAAGTCAGTGTTAATGTCTTTTGGAAGAATTATCTTCTACATGGAAAAGCAGCCTACAAGGGAGGCAGGGTTTGAGTTCATTCCCTTATATCCTGCTAGAAACCAAACCAAAGTTTGGCAAAGTGACTCAGAAAAGAGTGCAGTGGCTGTCACCAGGCACATTCAGCTACCTGTGACAAAAAGGCCTGTGAAGGAAGGGTTCAGATTTGGTAGTTTCCTCCATGTGTATCACTATAAATGCACAAGCCAGGAAGGAATTGAACTCTAATTTATCTCATTTGTAGGGTGAGCGTAAGGGGACAGGCTCATTATTCTGGCCATTATTCCACAGTTAATCGGTGAAGATCTTTTGATGTTTTGGGCTTGATTTCAGGGCTTTACTTAGTTTATCAATGTGCTGTACTGGTGTATTAATTGTACCATATTAATGAGACCATGGCTTTTATATCTCAGCAACTAGTACCAGTAGAGCTAGGAATGTCACACAGGAACTAATGTAATTACTTAATGACCCATGCACCAGTTAGATGACCTTCGCCTTCACAGGCCAAGAAAATAGTCTGACACTAGCCATGGGCTGCAATTGGGGGAACTTACCTACTTTGTTAAATGAATTCAGTTAAGGGAAAAACACAAACATACGAAAGTTCAGAATTCACACAAAAAGAGCTGCTGTATAATCAGTGGAGGCCAGTTTTGAAAGCGTCTACACACAAGTGTGATGCTGCATGCAGTCCGTGAAGCTTATTTGGGCCTGCCCGGTACCCAGATTAATTCATATTACCAGATTGCTAATAGTGTTAGAGGTGGATACATTAAGTTAGAAAGAATGCAGAGGTATATCTGAGATGCAGTGCTACAAGATGTTCTCGTGTGCTGGTGGTGAGGAATTATTTGTGCCCAAGTCATGGCTTCCCTGTGTGACACTGGACACCTCATTTGCCTTCTGACTTATAAAATTAGGAAAAAATCTAATGCCTCTGTAATGTGCTTTCAGATGAAGAATACCATATAAATGCAAAGCAGTTTTCAAAGCAGTTTATGATTTGACTGGTTCATCTATAGTTATGAGAGCAATGTAGAAATGAGGGACAGCATTCACAATCTTCAGCTCTGAAACTGCAATACAAAAGAGACTCACAGATGCAAAATGGGCAATTAAAGCCTTAAGCATAGTAATTACACAGACAAGTATCGTTTATGCCAGCATGAGGAGTATTTTAAGTGCAAATATACAAGCTTTTTTGACTATTAAGACTAAATTGAAAGCATTTTTAATAAAGTAGCCAAAATTTTTATAATAATTATGAGCATAAATTAAGTGGAGAACCATTAGAAACGTGCAGTCACATGTTAAAAAATACAAAACAATTAAAAATTCAAACTAGATTCACACATAAAACTAGGCAAGATCTGGATCGAGCATAGCTATTGGTGTTAGGGATGATCAGCCATACATGTGTCCATTCTGGATGCTTTGCACCACGCCACACTGGCAAGCAGGAACAAATACATGTCGTGCACTTTTGCCGTTGGTGACACATGAGCAATCACTTGTGAAGTTCTCTTGTGGGTGGAGTCTCTCTCTTATGTGCTTCTTAACAGGTAAATGATGAGCAACAGAACTATGCCAGTGTCTTGGGAGAAATGTATTTGTTATGAGCTCAGTGCCAATGTGTCTTCTCTCAAGTGCAGCAGGAAGCCTGAAGGAAGATTTGTAACAAAGCCACATTTCCTACCCCAGCTTCTCTGTCTTTTTGAATTTTATGTTGTTTGGAAAGAAGGATGCTGGTTTTCTGTGAAACCTTGGTCGTTTGGCACAATACAGTGAAATAAAACATTGGTTTGGCTGGTTAGTCAGAATTTATCGAGATTGGTTTTACTGTTCATAGTCCCCAAAGATTTAAAAAATACAGGAAATTCTTCTTGAGCTCAAAGACAACAGGAGTTAACACAAGCACACCAGTGTTTTATCTTCTGTGACAACTGTGTCATCCCACAACAGTGGTGAAAGCAATAAAATCATTCATTGTCTCAAATGAAAAGTATTTCAAATATCTAGGACCTAAGCTAAGGCACAGTTTCACCAAGGCCAAATTCTGCCTGACCAACCAAGCAGACTTGTAAAATGGAGTGACTACATCAGTGGACAAGGGAAGAGCTATGGAAGTTGTCTATCTGGATTTCTGTAAGGCCTTTAACCTAGTCCCCCACAACATTCTTCCATCTAAATTGGAGAGATGTGGATTTGATGGACGGACTCTTTGACAGATGAGGAATTGCCTGGATGGTGGCTTCCAGGGGGTATTGGTCTACGGCTCAACGTCCAGGTGGAGATCAGTGGCAAGTGGCATCCCTCAGGAGTCTGTACTGGGATCAGTACTGTTCAGTATCTTCATCGATGACACAGACAGTGGGATCAGGTGCACCCTCAGCAAGTTTGCAGATGACACCAAGCTGAGTGGTGTGATTGACAAGCCTGAGAAACAGGATGCTGCCCAGAGGGAGCTGGACAAGCTCAAGAAGTGGGGCCATGTGAACCTCATGAGGTTCAACAAGGCCAAGTGCAAGGTCCTGCGTATGCATGGGGGCAACCTGATATCAACACAGGCTGGGGGGTAAAGGGGTTGAGAGCTGCCCTACAGAGAAGGACTTGGGGGTGGTGGTGGATGAAAATCTGGACATGACCCAGTGCTTAAAGCCCGGAAGGCCAATTGTATCCTGGGCTGCATCCCAAGAAGAGTGGCCAGCAGGTCAGGGGAGGTGATCCTGCCCCTCTACTCTGCTCTGGTGAGACAGCACCTGCAGTCCTGTGTTCAGCTCTGGGAACCCCAACACAAGAGGGATGTGGACCTGCTCAAGCAAGTCCAGAGGAGGCCTTGAAGATGATCAGAGGGCTGGAGCACCTTTCCTATGGAAAACCTGAGAGAGAGGCCTCCAGGGAGACCTTATTGTGGTCTTTCAGTAGTTAAAGGGGGGCTTGTAAAAAAGATCTGGACAAACTTTTTAGTAGGGTCTGTTGTGATAGGACAAGGGATAATGGTTTTAAACTAAAAGAGGACAGGTTTAGACTAGAGGGAAGGAAGACATTTTTTACAATGAGGGTGGTGAAACAGAGAGGTGGTAGATGCCCCATCCTGGAAACATTCAAACTCAGGTCAGGTGGGGCTCTGAGCAACCTGTTATGCTGGAGGATGTCCCTGCTCATTGCAGGGGGGTTGGACTAGATGACCTTTAAAGATGCCTTCCAACCCAAACTATTCTATGATTCTCTAATCAGTATTTTCAGGCTTTAAAAGAAAACATGAAACACAGAAGCAATTTGCCTTGTTCAGTGGGGTTTTAAATAATGGAGGTGTCAAACGGAGTTACAGAAGTGACCAAGATTTCAGATCCCACAGACTATCAAAAGGAGCCCATTAAGTTCAGATGTCTTAAAATCTAATTATAACCCAAGAGAGCAAAAGCGACAAAGCATAAATTTCCAGAGGCAGTGTGTGACCAAAAATGATAATTGTCTACCTTTGCCCTTTAGTAAATGCCGCGCTGTGACAGGTGTTTAATCTCCAGCTTCCCATTACGCAGAGCTGAACAGCCCAGCCTCGGCCCCCAGCTCGGAGAAGCAGAGCCCCATGGCCCAGCAGCACAGCCCCATGGCCCAGCAGAGCCCCCTGGCGCAGCAGAGCCCTGTCGCCCAGCACAGCCCCGTCGCCCAGCCGCCACCTCCACAGCCCCTCCAGCTGCAGGGACACGAAAACAGGTAAGAGCAGCTCCTCCAGCCTTTTGCCTTGTGCGAGGACCCTTGTGCTGGGTCTTCCTGCTGTTCCTAGCAGCTATGAGCCATCGCCTGTGGGGCTCTGACAAGCCATAGTCCTGTGATTGCACCCACAGAGCATGAATTGTGCATGCCAGGGTAATCTGTAAGTCTTGTTTGGGTCTGAAACATATTATGAACAAGGGTCTAGCCAGCCTTCCACAAATGTCCACTGGGATCTTATCTTTGCCAAGGAACTAAACAGCAAAGTGTTTCTTGCTAATAATTTCATTGTTAACATACTACTTTCTTATATCAACTACAGAATACAGGTATATCCGTATGTGATCCTGAGGTGGCCTTTTTTGGTTTTTAGTATCTTACATGCCTGATTTTGTCTATTAGACTTCTGGAGTCAGGAAGATATTTTTATATCAGCTTCTATCTATGGTGTATCATTTTCCAGCTAATTTCTCATGTGTAATTTGTGTATATGCATTGACAGATTTATCTATGATGGAAATTAAATGGTAGGGGGATAGAAATTTTATGACCAGATGTACTAAAGCTGTTTATATAAAGAGCATGCTCAGGCTGTGGGATGATACAACTTTCTATGATCTTCAATCAACACTATTTAGTCTTTGGATTAATTTTTGGCATGTTAAATGAAGCTGATTACACTGACTGTCTTTATGCTAATCTTCAATAACCAACATACCTCATCAAGACCCTTTTCCCTAAATAGTAGATGCTGGTTTCAGGATTGTAACTTTCTGCTTCTGGATATACTTGAGTTTGGTTGTGATTTAGACACTATGCCCTCTAATTCTCCTTGCTTTCCAGATGTAGCACTTTCACTTGCCCAAAATTATTTTCTCTCAATTAGTCACAGTTGGCAAATTTCTTTGCCTTATATTTCATTGAGTAAATTTTCCAAAAGTGATCATCTCCTAGAAGACATCATATGTTTCTGACAAAAATACAGTGCAGAGCTTTCACAAAAGCCTGTGCAGTTGTAAGTCAGTATTAAATGTCTGTTGAATTGGGAACTTTCAGAGGGGAGCAGTAAACTTTATTGATTAAAGTTCCAGAAAGAAATTCTGTAATCATTGTACCGAACAGCGTGAACTATAATTGGTCATGTCACCATTTATATATTCAGCAAAAATAAAAGCATCATCTTTTGACATGCAGCTGTGATCGTTTATTGGGAACCCACCTAAGGATTACTTCTGTTCCAAAAAAAGGTCCATTTCTGCTAGTTCATATAGTATCATTTTCACTAGATTTTATAAATCAGATTGGAGCTTGTATTGATAGCTACATACGTAGTTTCTGTATCAAAATCAAAATTTTATGTGATATTTAAATCTCTTAGTAATACTAACTAGTATTTTTACTTCCAGTATTGATAAGGCTCAATATCACAGTCAGCCTGTTTGTTCTCCATCTTCATTTTACAGGATCATGATACTGAGTAAAGAAAGTAAGAGGATTGTCTGTCAACATGCAGGTCTTATTATAGATGCCATGTACAGGTTTAAATGAACATGGCAGCAAGCTATTTTCATCTTCTCAGAAAAGTCCAAGGGAAATAGTTCTGATATTTTAGTGTCTGGATAAAGATTCAGCTAATTAAAGTTAGTGTGTAGGAAGATCTGACATAATATTACTGTAACTGTACTAGTAAAGTAATGAAGTTTTGAAATATGTTTAATTTCTTTGACATTTTTTGAACATTTAGATTATCTTTTTCATACATAAATTAACGTAATCAAAAACAATGCTCTCATTTTATCAGTGTGTAACTTTTCTCAATCAGTAAGTAAGGGATTTCAAAATCCCTTTCACGATTTCTTTGTGTCCACGTATCTGCATGTGTACATGTACATATATGGTCACTTGGTCGACTGGAAACTTCCAGATCATTATTAAAATAGAGTTTGAAATGTGTATTTCCAGTATAGGCCTATACATTCCTGGGATGAGTGTGAAAACATCCACTATGTGAACATTTTTTGTTAAAGCTAACTCGAAATACTACTACTGAATTGCTTTGAGAAAAAGGTTCAGGACTTCCTTTGTGCCCATTCAGCATGTTACGTGGCTGAGGTATGGAGGTTTGCAGTAAGAAATATTCCTTCCTTCCCTCTGAAGTGAAATGCCATTATGCACCAATTTCCATGTGATAAGGGAGCCACTTGTACCTATCTGAGTAAATTAATTAACTAGTCGCTATGCTACAGCAAGTCACATTTTCTTTGAAGTGTTAGGACTCATCTTCCTGTAACCAGTTACCAATTAAAGCAGTATTTTACTTGTTATTATTTCCTCATTAACCAAATATGGTTTTTTCCTCTCACCCTGCATTACTTATGTACATAATTACTGATATGACCTGCCACGGGCTTGTAGCCAGATAGTATTATAGTGAGTGGGTAATAATAATAATAATACACACTATATTAGGAGACGTTGTATCAAAGAATACCTTTCATTAAAATGATAACAAATAGTACAAAGAATTTATCCTTTTTTAACCTTGAGAAGCTCACAATAATAATACCTTATGTCAATGAAACAGAGGGGTTATAAATACCTGCACTGTTTCATTTATTCTACAGAATCTCAATTCTGGGAAAAAAACACTCAGTGCATTATTTTGTAGTGAGCTGTGGGTGTTTTCACATGCAATTTCATCTTCCAAGTAGGCAAGTTAAGGGGGAGTCAAGATGCTTTTCCTGTGCCTTCCTCTTTGATCTTAATCCTGATCTCACTGATACGAACTGGAAAATCGCACAGTGTGACCTCAGGGAATATTGCTTATGTCCATGTTTCAAAAGCTCTCACTGGTTTTGGGTGCCTCAACTGTTTACCCTCCAAAGTTTTGCTTCTCTGCAAAGATTTGTTTCATTCAATTTTTCAGGGAGGCAGTTTGCTTTCACTCCACAGTGTCACATGTAATGCATATTCTTAATGTTTGGCTGCTTTCTGAAACGAAGTCATTTTGCTTTTTCAGTTATAGGTCAGAAGTAAAAGCCAGACAGGATGTGAAACCTGACATCCGGCAACCTCCATTTACAGACTACAGGCAGTCCTCAACGGACTACCGACAGCCTCCGCTGGACTACAGGCATCCTCCGGTGATGGATTACCAGCAGCCACCACCTCTCGACTACAGGCAGCCACCCTTAATAGATTACAGGCAGCATTCGCCCGACACCAGGCAGTACCCTCTGTCAGAGTACAGGCAGCCCCAGGGACAAACTTACAGCACTCCTACTAGGGAAAGATCATGTATATTGGCAAAAAAGATGACGTTACAGAAGAAAAAGGTGCCTTTATTGTTTTTACTCTTAGCTACTATCTTTCTGTAGAAGAAGTTATTTCTAACCCATTAATATTAATGAAGAACTATGTGAGCTCTCAAATAACACTATATTTATAATTGTGTGACTAATATGTTAAATAAATGCTATTTCTAAGGTACACTGGAGAGTCAAAATAAAAGTTCTAAAATAAGTTGTCTTTGCATTACCAGAGGATTTTTTTTATTCCTAGGAACATAATACGGTCATTGAACAGTGGATGTGCTTAGGTCAGACTGCATTTTAGAGCATTGTTGAAAATTAAGACTTTATTTAATCTGAAGAAATAATTAAATATGAATCCTGACTGATATAATTACATTTCTGTTACTCTGGATGCAGAGAAACTAGCTTGTGCAACTAGTTTCTTTGACATCAGGCATAATCTTACAAATTCAGAGAAACAACCCTAGGTGAAGAGTTATGTTACCTTGGACAAAATTCTGCTGGTGATAAGTATTTACTGACAGCTGTGAGAGTTTGAGGATTTGACCCAAAGCTTAGACTTTCAAAAAAAAATCCTCCTTTCTTCTCACATGAAGACAGAAAAAATAAAGGTCAGAAGAATATTAAATAAGATAATGTAAATTTCTGGGCACTATATGCTGGAAACACATATATGTGGTTTCTGTGTCCATTTTCAAAGCCAGACACATAAACTGCATCGATGAAAATATCCAAATTCTTGAGGGATCCAGAGAATCCTCTAAAAATTCTGTGCATTTCCGTGTGTAAATAGCAAACACCATCCACATGTGCCTAGCCTGTAAGATGCTCCTTAGCACCTATAGAGATGCTTAGACTACCTGTGGTCTCACCATTTCCAGTTTAATTCTCTAACCACTGGTCTACACCACCCAAGCTTGCTCTTGTTTTTTCTCCTACTGCCCTTGCTCTTGCAATCTTGGCTGCAAAGGGACCAGAAGCATCAGACCAAGTTCCCACCCAGACCCCTCTATGGGGATGGTAATTCGGGTCCACCAAGGAACAACGAAGGGTGACTCTCAGTCTCTTCAGTACACAGAAAGGGTGAAACGCAAATCTCCTACTTGCCACATCCTCCTCAAAGCATGTTTTAACCGAAGTGGTGAAGGCTGCTATACTTTGTGACTCCATGCAGTCTAGCCTGCTGATCATGTTAGGTTGTGCCGAGAATTTAGGCGATGACTCTCCTACTAATGTTCAGTTGTGATGATGCGTATGCAGGAACTGCCTGCTACCTCACTGGCCAAATCAGTAATTCTGCATAAACGCTTGCACTCGGGTGCCTTGAGAATATTGAGGGTGAATATGAAACCATGTGGAGAATTTCTGATACCAAGCAACTGCTAAAAAGTGCCCTTTCAGGGTGGTTTAGACTTAGGCGTTTACATTTTGCTAAAGTCTCTATTTCTGAAATGGCCAAAGTCTGCCAGTGCAGAAGTATACTTGGAGGGTCCCTTTGCTTATATCAAGTGGATAGTTGCACTTTTGAAGAGATGTGTTTTAAAGTTTTCTTGACTCTATACCCCGACATTCATATCATATCATTAATTCTTTCATTGTTTGTTTGTCTGTACAGGACTTTGATTATTTCACCGTTGATTTGGAGAAAGGAGCCAAAGGTTTTGGGTTTAGTATTCGAGGAGGAAGGGAGTACAAAATGGATTTGTATGTGCTGAGGTTAGCAGAAGATGGGCCAGCAATAAGAAATGGAAGGATGAGGGTAAGTAAAATGCATTGTAACAATTTTTTTCAACATTTACAGATGTGTTTGGTGATGGGCTCAAAGAGAGCATTTTTTTTTGTCTCTGATCAAGTTTTAAAGAGCCAGTGCCAAATACCTCTTATAAACTTATTCTGTAGGAGTTCAAGAAATTAGTTGAAACATATAGTAGGTCTGTGTAGTTTCTTTGCAGAATAAATGTGTACTTCTTGTTGATAATAGCTTATACTGTGTTATACTTTTTTCTCCCTGTTCTTTCACTCATATCTGAGCAACTTAAAAATTTCTAACATAAAGTTTGATGTTTCTTTGATAATAATATCAGCATAATTAATAGTTATGTTTCTAATCACAAAAGCAAAGTGATAGCTATTTAACACTTATTGACTAAATATGAAGCCTAAGACTTGGTCTGTGTTATTTTACTAATTTAATGAAGTTGCCTTCATAGTGTTTGCTAAGTTTGTTTATTGGTATTATTTAATCTTGTTTGTAGGGATCAGTTTTCACTATTTGTCTGCATAGGTCTTAGTACATTTGGGTCCTGTATTGGCAGAAATCATAACAACACTATGTCCAAATACTAAACCTGAAAGCATTCACATAAGAAATGTCACGATAAAAAAAAATACATATTCTATGTAGGAACAATAACCTAATCAAAAATAAATGGTTTTAATCTGTCCAGTGGTGCTAACGAAGACATATAAACTCATCAAGGGTTGCTGATACCTTGCAGAATAGTGAGTATGCAGAAAGGAGAAAGAGAGAACATAGGTTAAAAAGACTATCAAGAGTCAACATTTGTAACTTGTGTATCTATCTAATTAGTGCAGCCTTGTTGAACCAATATTTAATTATTAAGATGGGCAATGAAAATTGTGTTCTGTACAGTTTATTGTAATAGCATATTTGCAAATGTCATGGTTGTTACACAGATTGTGTTTCATGATCCTAACCATCTCATCAACTTTGACTTCATGCTGAAAGTCATGACCATTGTCATCAGTCTGAATATACAATTAGAAACTTCATGTATATAATTAAGGGGTTTTAGAATATTTCAAATCACTCTTAACTTGCCCACTTTGTAGAATTATAGCATTCAGTTAGTCCTCAGTTGTACCATGGAGTGCAAACCTGTGGACTGGGAGCTTGCATAAGGGAGCAACAGCATAAGCAGTCCCTGTGATGAGGAAGCTGAGGGGCAAGCAGGCAGGCAACAGGTAACTCAGAAATATTCCCACAATATTTACTGGGTGAAATATAGGTGAATTCATGCTGCAGATAGAACTTTAATTTAGGAATATCTTATCTGATGAGTCTTTTCATTCTTTCCTTTACTGTAGCAATTGTTAATTGCTCTAAATGAAAAACTGTAAGCAAGATGTACATTACCAGCCATAATGTGATTAAACATAGGAAAAAAGTTCTGGGTTTAGTAAGTTTTCGAATAGCATATTTGGAAACAAATGGCTAAGACTACAGAACAACAGAAGAACAATGCCTTTGGAGAAGGTTCATTTCAAATAATAACCTGTATTAGGCAGAAAACTAACCTATTAAAATCTGTGCATCATTTGAATTAAATAGTACCACAGAATAAAATTAGACTGTCCATGCCATGAATAGCCTAAATATAAAAAGTGTGTAACAGAAATACACAGGTTTTTTTAAGTCCTGTATCTTATAATGAAAAACATTAATATATTTTTCTACACTAACTTACTTTAAATCTTTTATCTTGATGTGGCTACAATACAAAGCGAAGTGTTGTTCTGGACAGATAGTTGTAACTGTGTTTTTTCTCCTCTTTAAAGCATCGTTCTTTGGAATCAGTTTTGCCCTCCAGCCTTGTCACTGAGTCTTGTGTTGCATTCTCCACTTTAACAGCCATTTTAACCTGACAGTCACAAATGGATTTAGAACTTGCAAGGCTTTTATCTCCAGTGACCTGTAACTGATGGACAGCAGAAGCTGAAGTAACAGCTTCTTCAAAACAAAAATAGCAGAACAACAAACAACAATCATTGCTGAAAGGAATAGAGTGTACAGGAAGATGAGCAAAGGAAGCAGAGTTCTGTACCCATACCTCCTTTCTTAAGTTTGTATCTGCTGTTAAAAACGCAGGTTTATTCCCATCTCTTGGCTGGGACCAGCAGCCTGCTTGCTGCAGTTCTGTATCTCTCTGTTCACAGATGCATCTCTATACCAAAATATGCAAAAATCTGTTCAGTGCTTCTTGCTTTGCATACTATTGTCTTTAAAGATCAGATTCACTGATCCTAGGCTTTCAGCACTGGGGAGAGTTAACCATACTTACATGATAGGCTCTTATCGGGAGCATTTTCCAGCTATTAGTTCTTTTCATGATCTACCTATCTCCATTATTGTTTTGATTCCTTTTTCCTTCTCCTTGAAGAGCCTTCTTTGAGTTACCTGAAGCCTTAAAGAAAAACATGAAGCAGATAACGCAAGGTATAGATCATGCTTATAGAAAGAAATAATACACATAACTCCACTATTATTTCCACTCACCTTGAAAAATTAAACCAGCTAAGCCACTGAAAAATATAAATCACATAATGAAACATGTTGCCTGTAAATCATTTAGATGTAATAAGTAAACATATTCTACCAATAGCATTTTGTTGTCAGTCTAGTTATAACCAGCAAAAGCCCTGATAAAAGCACATTTATATTGATATAAATCTCCCTACTTTACAGAAATAAATAAAAGAATGTAAAGTACTTTGGAATAGCAGGGCTACGTCTATACTAAAGAGTTTATAAATTCGTATCATTGAAGCAATGCAGTGTCAAACCGAAGACAGATCTAGATAGGCTAGTCCAAGTGTGCATGTTGTACCCTGTTAGTGCAAAATCATAGTGATGGGATGAGCCCAGCATATATTCCACTTGGACATGTATTAAAAAATCTGAAATACTATCAGCACACATTCAAAAGATTCTGAGGTCTTAATACATGTAAAAGTGTATGCATTAAGATACAGAGAATAGATTTAAAAAAGTAAAAGCTAAGAAGATAGGAAATCAGACGGAAGTAAAGAACCAGTATAGAACTACCTCTTGTAAAAGAAAATACAGTAGATCCATTACTGAGGAAGGTAAGTGTGAAAAGATTACAATATACCAATAACAGGAGCAAAGATAAATGGAGCAAAAAGACAATGATGAAACAGCATGAAGTGACATCAAAATCTGGGCATCCTTATGACACTTTCAGTTTGATCTTCAGGATTTTATGAACCCCAGTGGAGCGTGGGAGCAGATGACAGAACAAACTCAAAGAGCAAGCACTGGAAGTGATGGTCTTCCTCTGGCCCTGCCAGAACTGTCTAGGTTTTAGAAGATTCATAGAATGGGCGAAAAGGTTTAATGAATTCAGTTATAACATCACCATTTCCAGCAAGAAGTCCTGGTCTTCCTTCCCACTGGGAATGGACACTGGGCACTTTGTATTTTTATTGGAAACAAATCCACTGAGGAACACTCCATTTGAGGATTACAAGATCTAAAATAGTCTTTAATTGCCCTTCATGACTGATGGAGTTTTCTACTTCGATCTTCTGTGGAATTGTTCTGAGAGCCAGAAAGGTGGAAGACTAGTGAGTTGGTGTCATACAGAGTTCGTCAGTCTCACCAGCATATTGCTTTTCTTCTCAAGGATCCCTTTCTGCCAGCCTGTATAGACACTGCATTATGTCTTAAGATTCAACAAATTATTCCCTTGAACATAGTTTTAAAACTTTCACAGGCTTATTATACCATTCTTAGTTGTGGCATTTTCACATGCACTGAGATATTTATTTGGTCTCATAGACTCTGCTTCTGAAGAAAGCCCAAGCAAACATCCTACTTTAACTTGGATTCCTCTATCACTAGACATGGGAAGGAAACGTCCATCACAGGACCCAGAAGTTACAGGAAAAAGTGTTTCTTCACATGCTTCCTCTGCCTGCCTGGTTGGAGAGCCACAGCCAAAATTATGTAACTTCATATAAATCCATATGCAAGGTGAAATTAACTTCAGCAGAATTTTACTGCAATTCATGGATAAGATATATGGAGAGTGCTTGCTGAAGACCTCTGTAGGGGGAACCTTGTTACTATACTGGAAGTAAATACAAATGCCTCTGAATTCTGGCAGCTGAGCAGAGAACAAACTACACTCTGAAAAGCCTACCACAGCAAAGGTTTACAAACCCTGAATCATGTGACTCAAAATACTTCCAGTAAACTAAGTGAATTTTCATGAAGGGCAAGATATCTTACAAATTAGGAGTAACGAAGGAAAGTTTCATTAGATCTAAGGAGAAGACCTCAAAAGAAAACATGGCTATTCAAAACTTTAAATGGCAGATAGACTCACTGAGAACTCAAAAACTGTATCTCCACCCTCCTTTCTTCTTCACAATGAAGGAGTACCAGAAATACAAGACTTCGTCCACACCATTGCAAAAAAAGACTGAATAAGACCATGTCTGTGCTCTGTAAGACAAGGATGTATTAAAAGAACCATGAGAAAAGTTTGGAGAATTATTACCACCTTTTATATCTTATCCCAAACTGGTAGAGGTTTGAGCACATCAAGACCCCTTTTCTGAATTATTCCTAACATCAGGGAAAATATATGAAACTAGTTGGTGATGGCGATATTGAAAATTAAAGCTGCAAGCCCTAGTTTCAGAGTAGGGTGAGAATATGGCACACACACTATCAGTAATACCGAGTTGAATCAGTCACCAGAGATGAGGGACATAACACAGCCAGTGTGGAGCACAGTCCCCACGGCCTTGGAAGATTCAAGCACTACCAGCAACAATTTTACAGGTCTATTTAGATAAGGCTCGTGGTAACTCATATTTTATTCTTGTCTCACTTTGAGGACAATGATCAGCAGAGCTCTGCTGCAGATCTCTATCCGTTCCTTTCTTAGAGACAGGGAACTGCTGGCTACTCTCAGGAGAATTGTTAAG